GGCAAACCCCAGCTGGAGTCTGGGGCCAGAAAAGCAGGGTGGGGGGGAGTGTTAAACTCCCCTTCCCTTGAGTATGGAGTTGCCCTGCCCCACTTGCTTAGTGCTGCCTGTGACCTGTACTAAAAATTCCAGAGACACCTGGAAGCAAGAAGTGACGAGCAACCCTGCAGAATCCTGCTGCTGTGGCTGTGGACTGCAGATCCCAGAGACCTTGTGGGCAGCAGGAAGAGGATGTGAATACACGGCCCATCTGTTTTTATGGTGGGTAGGGAATGTCTGAAATGAGACATGTGAATCCTTTCTGGCTGATGGAGAACTGTACTTCTCATCCCAGATCATACTTTTCAGGTAGCATAGGGACTTGAACCAAAATTTCCCACATTCAAAGCATATTACCAACAGTCTGTCTGTCTTCTCAGGACTCTAAACCTCCATGGCAAAAGTTTTTTGTTTGTTGTCTTTATCTTGCTGAGACCTGATGCATTCCTACCAAGCATCTTGGTTTTGATGAAACAGCATATTTTTATAACCATCTACATATGCTTATCTCTTATTGTTAGTTCTGTAGAGGGCAGGTATCTTAAAATAGAAGTAATTGCATTTTTTTCCCAAAAGAAAGATGTGAACATTGGTGATGAGTGTCAGTAACATTTGAAGTACATGCAGGCAGGTTCCTTTTTGCAGTTGGTCTTAAATTTACCTCTTGCTTCATTTTAGGTAGTCCAATGAGAATTCTAAATGCTTTCTCAGTTATGGCTGTGGGCAAGAGTTTCCAAAAATGCAGCTGCAAAAATACCAAATAGTTTATGGGATCAGTGAAATGAGACACAACCTTGGCTTTAGCTATGAATTATAGCTCAGCACGATTCCAACGAATTGTAATCTAATGGCTGCTCAATGGACTACGTGAAGAGAGGTAGCCACTGCAGCATCTGCTTTACTGACACGAACACAAGGGATATTTTGTTTCACATTTTAATTTTATAGAAAAACTTGTGACTAAATCTCAAACGTTGAATATAATTACTGATCTCTTTTTCACTCTGACAGGATGTCAGATAAACAATAGCTGACAAAGCAAATGACACTGTCTTTTAAAAGTCAATTTAAAATCCCTGTTCAGTTTCAATTGTGGGTGTGTTTTTTTTTTTTTGTTTTGTTTTTTTAAAAAAAACCCAAAAAATAAATCTTGTCTGAATCTAGTAAATGACAATCTGCTTTGTCAAACATCATTTTTATATTTGTAGAATGTGCAAAATGCTAAACCCTGCTTATGTATGAATATGCTAATAATGGCTTAAGTCAAACTTTTTTTTAATCTTTCAGCTGTACTTTGGGAGCAACTCATTCAGTGTGTTCTGACAATGTGTTGAATTTTAATAAGTCACTGAGGAAAAACTGTCTGTTTAAAGTATGTATTGCCTTTGCAGAGGTCTGGTTGTATCCAGTGTGTGCAAGTATGAACTATAATTATTTGGTAGAATCTTTGTTAGCTTCTGGATATTTTTTTTAAACCCTGTTCCTTCAAAGCTTCTCTGTCATAGAACAGGTCACAAACTTTGTACGTTAGCTGTTGCTCTACTGAATTGGTGAGAACCACTCTTCAGTTTCTCTTGATTTAACAAATATAGAGCAGATTTTGGATAAATTCTCCTCACTCCAAAATGGCTTGGTTTAGACCTTAAATAAATCTCTAATGTATACAAATTTTGGAAGCTTTAGTTTTACACTGACCTGACCTGATTCTTATTGTGGCTACCTGTCAGGTATATCGGATGCTCTTATTCCTTTTCACTCCTTGCTTTCCCCTAGGAAAATAAACCTACAACAAATTGTCAAGGAATGACAAAGGACAAAAGGATTGTAATAGCAAATCATCATTTATAGCAGCAGATGAGTCTGTCTCTCTTTCTAACCCTGACTTCCTCAGTTCTTTTCTACCACACCATCTCTTGTCAACTGCAGACCATTTTTTATATTTCCTAGGGTGCAACAGAGTAGTAAAAACTAGATGCTCTCACTGAATCCCTTCTGCATTCTTATCTGCTGACATGCTTTCAATTTAGTTTTAATTGGAAACCAAATGGAAAACATTTTTGTGACCTACTGTGATGATTTATAGCAGGCTATTAAACATACTGAAAACATGCTATTTTAAAAGACCATTACAGTTGGATCTCTGACCCCTACCTCGTCCCTCTTGGTCACAGGAAGTGTCGACTATGAGTGGCAATATCTCGACAAGTCAATTACACTTGTAGGCATAGTAGGCTTCCCACCTACTATAACACCTTGTAAAATCCTGTAGAAAAAAGTCTTTATTCATCCAGAAACTTGGTGTCCCCTTTGATAAAGCAGAAAGCATTCATTCCCCCCCCCCACAATGTCTAATGAGTACCACTTTATAATATTGTTAATCTTTAATAAAATAATGCAGTCTTAGTTTATTATAACCAGTGGTGTAGAGCCTGTCTGTGGGTCAGGACTGGGTCTCACATGCCTCTGCTGGTCCTTGTATGCCAGGATTGGGCCCTAGTACCCTGCAGTATTCCTACTTGGCCTCAAGCACTGGGATCAGGCCCTGCACAGTGAATCAGTGGGATAGCATGGCCATGCCATACTAACCCACTGCAGTGTTTCCAGTGGGTCCAGACACTTTAGCAGTAGAGAAACAGCCATTGCTTCCCTGCTGCCAGACTTTTAGACCCATGGACTAGATGACATGGTTCTGGTGGCTGGCTCTAGCCTGCAGGCCAGGGGTTGAGCCTTCATATTTTACAGCTTAGAGTTGTAAAACCATTTTTATAGCACTTCAGCTGTGGAACCCTTTACCCTTATCCTGTGAGCAGTGGCAGCTCGCAGCCTCCTGGTCTGTTCTGTCATTATCCTTTGCATCTTTGTAGAACCCCTGATGACCTATTGCAAAACCCCAAGGTTCCAGGGAAAATGCTTTTGAAATCCACCAATTTTATTTTATTTTTATAAACAATTCTCAATGGACTAGAGGCAGTGTTGCTGCAGAAAATGACCTGTATTCCCCAGCAAACCCGGCCTGGTCTTTTGACCTTGTCTAAATTGGCTTTGCCCTCCTCAGCAAAGCAGAAGTCTTGAAAAACAAAAATAAATACTTTTAAATAGAGCTAAGGAGAGAATTCTAGTGTACAGGGGCTTCCTGGCAGCCATTCTGAATTTTTAAGCATTATGGGTGTTGAACAATAGCTGTGTGTCAGACTCCTACTTAGATTTTCCAAGATACATGTCATTCTGACTCTTTCTGAACAGGGCTAACCAATGAGGTATGTGGCATGGCAGACATATGTGGTGCCACATGTTCAGCTGTTCTCTGCACTGTAAGGAAGCATCGCAGAGGGTTGGCCTTTTTTTGCCCCTGGATATCCAGGGGTCAAAAGTGTAGTGGCACATGTGGTAGCAGTGTGGGGCACCCAAAGCCAGAGCCACATTTTTTGCTGCTGGCCAAGTTCCCCATGGTAGGAGTGACATGGCTGCAGCCCCGGGAGGCCCTCAGGACCTCTGATAAGGCTGCTGGGGCCAGCCTAGTGCTGGCCCCAGCCTCCCCTACACCACCTGGGGTCACTTGCTACATGATGGAGCGTGCCTAGCATGGGTGTTCCCCAGGGACAACTAGTGGCGGTACAAGCTGAGCTGCCACTAGTTGTCTGTATGGAACCAAATATCCACGCGCATCTGGATGCAGCCAAAGACTTTAAAATACTCTTCCCCAGGACTTTTATATATTGGTGCAGGTATTGGCATCAATTTGGATACCATTTATAGATTTTTTTTGTTTTTGTTTTGTTTTTATTATCAAGTGAGTAGTAGGTAATTATTGCCCAAGGGCTGGAAGGTATCCAGCTCTAGGGCTGCCCAGACACTTCCTTCAGAACTTTGCTCTGTTCCACACTCTGCAGCTCCAGAGAGCCTGCCAAATGCTTGTGGGCAGAGTCCTGGTTGCACAATTTAGGTGTTAAGTCCTCTTTTTCTGAACGAAGCTTGAAGGGGTATGCCATGTATATGTATGCTAAAGCATAGAGCAAATTGTTATGTGGGAGCCTTGTAGTTAAATGGCAACAAAATAGAAACACTAGTTTTAATTTACTACCTACCTAATAACATTTGTTTGAAAACAGTGTTCCAAATACTACTTACAATGTTTCTAAAATATTTAATAATATGATTCATATTCTCCAGTTGGGAAATATTGTCTACTTACTAAGACTTTTACTATAATACCCTTGAGGTGTAACTTTTTGTAATTTGGCGTGGCTTCAGCTAAGAGCTAAATTGAGAGGGAGGAAGGAAGACTAATGGACGCGCTCACTGGTTTTTCATCACTTTCCCCTTGCATGTACACTGGTAACTTATGAACAAACAAGTCTATCACAGAAGTTACATGCATGTAACCTAATATTAATATTGAGATTTTATGTTTTGGTTTCTTCTAGTTTCTCACTTGAGAAATGAGGACATTGCTGCAATGGCAGAGCTCCCCTTTCTTAAGGCTGACATCAGAGAGATATTTGAAAGTAAGCATAATGCCTCTTCAGCACTTCATCCCAGGCTATCTACTTGGCAATCAGTGACTTAATATGGCAATGATTTAATACTCTTCTTGAAATCCAATCTTTTGATAAAGCCTATAAGTCGCAAGTAATGTCTGACTTCTAATGAGCTAACAATTATGATGTTTCCTTTTGTATAGAAGTATCGCTCTTTTTTTAAGCGTTTGACTTGAACCACAGTTTTTACTGGACATCAGATTTGAAATAACTAACTTCTGGGAAGTATTACCTTGTATGAACTTATAGTCTTCTACCCATCATCTTCTAAGGTAGAAGACATGAGGCAACACTTGTGACAACTGAATTTGCTTTAATAAAAGTTAACCCTTCATGAAAACACCTCCATCCAAAAAAGCACAAGATTTTTCCATGCCAAATCGGGACACCTTAGTAAGTTTTTTATTCTGCAACCTGAGATGTTTGACAAGTGTAACATTGCATATAAGGACTTGTCAGTATTATAGTTCAGGCTGCTTACCACTTGCATTAAGACCCCAGCTTCAGCTATTCCTAACTTACTCAAATTGTAATCCTTGGGATGAAACTTTACATTTATAAGAATTTGATGAAAAGGTCAGTTTCTTTGGACAATGAAATTAATATTCTCATACTATTTTTTTTTCCCATAACTTTAACCATACCATTGAAAAATTACAGTGCCTCCATGAGCTGAAGGGATAGCCTTGATTTTTTTTTTTGGCATGATCATTGCCCTAGGGTTTATGGGGAGTGGTGCACAGAGTGAGTGTGTGTGTGGTTTTTTGTGCCCATGAAATCCACCCAAACTTAACTGTTATCTTCTGTAAACTGCCACTTACTCATAAGTAATTTATCAACTGAGGATGAGCAGTGAAGACCTTGAAAGACTCCATCTGCATTGCTGCCGCTTAAGGACAGAGCATGCTCAAATTTTTTTGGCTTTCTTTTTTGTTGTTGTGGTTAAGCTGGAATTCTTCCTGTAATTACTCCTCTTGGCTCCCAGGGCTGCTAGGGGTCAGATACAATTGTTCTTGTGGGTAGTTGCAGTCTTTTATGCTTTTATTGCCCTGCCTGATATTTTGGTAGTGTGAAGTGAGGAAAGATGCCTGATTGGATTGCTCAAGAGTGAAAAGAAGAATGGGTGTGAGGGAGATGTACAGGATGAAGGAGGACATGCTAGATGTTGGGGATAGGAAGCACAGGAAGTTTACTTCAGTGTAAGAGACAGCATTTGAGCATGTAGGATTATATCATAATGCATATGCAAAAGTTGCAGGGCTGTTTCTGGCACTTGAGTGCTTTGCATCTCTGTCTGATCTTTGTATGTAGTAAATTAATTGTATTGCAGTGGTATATTTACAGTCCCCACACTAGGACTAGAATTGAGTTGATACTAAATCATGGATATGTAGCTGTATCTGGATGACATAACTGATGGAAGTGTTTTTGCCATTTTTTTTTCAGTTCCATTAAAAAGCCATTTCAAACGCCAAAAGAGGAAGGAGTGCTTTCGGAGGAGGAACCAGCTCTGGAGAAGAAAGGTCTGGCATCATAGGCCAATGCTCCTGAAGGAGCACAAACCACCAAGCAGCAAATACCCCAAGACGCCTCAGAACCAACGCCAAGCTGAGACAGATTCAAAGGCAGCTGTCTGCATGCAGCCACAGCAACAACAGCAGGGGCAAGGAGGCATGGCCCCGCAGGTGACTGTACAAGTGCAGGGACTGGAGTTCCCACAGGTGACTGTGAATGTGCAGCCACAGATGCAGCTGCTGAGCCAAAGATGGGAAGTGCCACAAGTGACTGTGCAATTGCAACAATGGCAACAAGGCCAGGGTGCAGTGACTGTACAGGTGCAGCCACAGCGGCAGGGTCAAGGTAGGGTGGGTTTCCAGGTGACTGTCCAGGTACAGCCACAGATAGGCCATGACCAAGAAAGGCCACAGGTGATACCATCTCAGGCTGAGGGCCAAGGTGAGGGAAAGTCCCAGGCCACAGAGCAGGAGCAGCAAGAGAACCAAGATGAGAGGGAGTCTATTGTGACTGAGGTGAAGCAAGAGGAAGATGACTCGGACAGAACAGAAGTAATGACATTTCAAGGGCCAGAGAAGAAGGCACAAGACCAGAGCCAGGAGGAAGAAGGGTCAAAGGCAGTGGTTCCCCAGAGGCTGGCCCAAGAAGTGGAAGGGGGAGAGACTATAGGACCAAAGGTAATGGACCAGGTGCAGGAACAGCAGCAGGAAGAGGACAAAGGGCAAGATAAACCACCCATATCTAACAAACTGCCACGGGAGATGCCAAATTACTTTGTCTCTATTCCAGTAACAAATGACCAGGTATTGTGAAACTGAATGAAGCAAAACGAGCATATCAGATGACTAAAATGCTGTTGTATCCATTGTTAGCACCACTTCCATATTTTTTTAAATGGTGTCTAATTCCAATTCTCTCTTCCCCCCCCCCCCCCC